TTTTTTTGCATACGAATCATACGGGTTGCCAGTACTGATATTTGGTAGTCTGAACCATGCTAGCGATTGTATCTAGCTCTATGAAAATTCCGTGTATGCTTGGCCTTTCTGATGGTCTGGAGTTCATGCATTTGTGTATCACCGCTTCGACCTTAGCCAAAAGCTCAAAATTGGGATCTGCAAAAGAAAAGTTATGATTCTATGACCATGTACTCCTAGAATAAAACCTTTTGGCGACGGTCTATTTCCTGCGTCCAAAACTGAGCGCAGCACTATTCCCATGCTGTATACACCAGCTTCCGGAGTCAATATACGTGTCCAAGTCACTTCAGGAGCCATTCGTGTGAAATCGCCGCTATCGACAGGTCGCATTTGACTTAAATTAACATAAACAAGAAACAAAACCGAGCATAAGTTCATGATCTCGCACAAACTTTCACACAATTTCTCTTTGGTGGTGCCCACCGTAGACCTCCGCTCTTTATCCTACTCAATTAGATTTTCAGATTATTTTAAAGAAGTTTACGGCGTACGCTGCGTTCTCTGGTACAGCACGCAGCATATGCCGCATTTGGCCCAACTCCGGATATACTGTATGCAAAACAAGTTGTTCTCATAGACGAAGAAAAGTTTTAGAGAAAAAGTTAACTATGTAGAATTCGTGCAATAAAAATTGAGAGCTACCTTGTTTCGCCAAAGCTTTATTTGCTGTCTGAACAATAAAAAAATAGTTCTATTCAGAATAGTCAACAAAAGAAGGCATTTTTGTAAAAGAGCGCGAATCAGCAATATTTCCGGATTAGCAACGACCTGGCATTTGGACATGTACTGCTTTGAACAGTCTTTGATGATTACTTTTTGTTTTGAAATTTTGGAGTTGCTTGGTTTTTGGAACTTTTCTCGCCTCTATGCATTAAATGCGCAGCAGAAGGTTGGTTGGCGACTAACTTCAAGCTCCTGTGATTTTTATTGTTTTTATATTTTCTAAACAACAAAAAACCTATAATCCTTACTCGACAGGAGTGAGATCGCGTCCTTCAGCAAAAACAATCTGAATCTGCCCACACGTCATGGCATCCTAGAATTTCTATTCTCAACTTGGAAAGATGATATATTTGGAGGGTGTTGCAAGAAGCTTGGAGTCTTTGGTTAATTGACACGTTTCGACAAGTTTCACTAGTCACAGCACATGTGCTAAATCAAAGCGTGAAGCTCGATGATAGAACTGTGTCAAGAA